ATTGAAGAAGACGAGGGAAAACTCCTTGCTTTCTGAAAATTAACGGATGGGTCCACAAAGTCACCAGGAGTCAAGAGTGACTAAAAGCGGGCTTTCCTCTCCTAGCTCACCTAAAAAAAACCCAAACAGTTTCAAACCTGGTTGGATAGGAGGTCACTAGGAGATCCCACGGAGTCTAGACTGAGAAGTCAGGGGAAAAAATCCTTTCAGGTAGGAGGCAAAGGCCAACCACTTCCATATTATTGCTGAATCAGCTGCACAGGTGCATCCGCGAAGGCTCCAGGGGAGTTACAGTTTCAGGATGGGAACTGAAAGCAAAACGCCTAATTCAAAACAGGCCCCGGAAGGACTCTCAACCACTGGTTCTCCACACTACTTTTTTTCCTGTTCTCGTTTCAAGATCCTCGGCTCCTTCGTTCTTCCACACCCTCCCTTCCGATTTCAGTCTGTCCATCTGGTCCTGAGTTAGAATCACCTCCGGGAAAGGGTGGGTTGCCATAGAAACGCTGCTCCGACCATCAGAGCAAGAGATATTTTATCCTTGGAGGAAAAGGATCAATTCACCTCCTTGGCGGAAGGAAGGAGCACCGTCTTGGACCTCCTGGCGATGTTCAAAGGTGCAGCTGGAGAGAAATCCAATCAAGGGCTTTTTTGGAATAGCCCGGAGATGATTTCTGGGGATGCTGGCACTCCTTTGGGGGTCCGGAGTTCGGGTGCTGGGGGCCGATCACAGCCTGAAATGCTCTCATGGGTGAACCAGGCAAGACCGTAGCCACCCTGCTGTTCGAAAGCTAGGGCTTCAGGGTCCTTGACACTGCTACGCTAGCTAGCTAGGTGCAAGGAGAGGTTTGAAAAATGGAAACAAACAAACATGGGCAAGGAGAGAGGGGAGCCTTGATAAGAAGGAAAGGAAGGACGAGGGTGCATCCACTCCAACCAGATGCTTTGGGAAGCCTCAAAAAATTGATATAGAGCAGCTATTTCCAAGCAACTAGTATTCAAACCTTTGACAGCAAAGCCCACTTTTAAAACCCTTTAAACTT